ATTAACAAGTAATTCCTAAGTCTAGCACCATGTAATGGTTACCCCTTTACGGTAATCCCAACGATGACTTCTAATGCGAAAAGTAAATTGTTATCCTGCCAATAATCATAACTGCAATAATAAAAGGAAAAGAACATGATATCGAGCGGACCACGTCTGAAGGTCCGTAAATATCAAGAGATGCGAATTTATCACTTTAGGACCACCATTATTTGTCCTAAAGTCTCCAACAATCGTAGGAATCAATCAACCTTGATCGAATCTCGAATACGCGAAGAACACAATCATTCTACTTCACTGTATAACCTGAAATAGAAAACTAACAACACCAAAATGTCAGGAACAAACTGCCTGAAGACATCGTCGCTAGGAAACTCTCCACACACCCTCACGTGCCACTCAAACCCTCTGTGTGTGGGCTTCACGCCTCCGTCGATCCCATACGTCGGCCACCCAGGAGCGCCTCCACTTGCACGTCATGCCGGTGGTCTCCATTTCGCCGAACTCCTTATGGATCGGTCGAAAACCACAAAAACAACCTCAAATTTTGGGCAATTTTCTAATAGTTTTTCGATCTGTGTTTCTACTTCGTTTCAATCGCTTTTCTGATCGGTTTTTGATCAGTTTTTAGAGCCAAGTCCACCACCTTGAAGCTCTGATACCATTTGTCGTGAAATCCTCAAGCTTGATCCGGGCTTAGTTTAATCAACCAAACAAACACCAATCGAGAAGGCTCAACCCACAACTTTACCAATTGGTTGCCACAATTTTACTCACCACAAAGGGTACACTAGGTGATTGGTTTGCAAGCTGGGCTTTAGTACCGAATTCAACTCTAAACTTGCCTTCTTCCACTCGAACTGTTAGAAATCTCTCACTGAAGTCGAGGCTTTTGAACTTAGAGTTGAAGACCTTAAATGTTTCGCATTTCAGTTTAAGCGCCTTCATAGCAAGAAACTCCAGCATGCATTTAGATACTATTCTCACCAGTGGAGGACATGGGGTGCTTGCTTTCTACAAACCGCGTGGAGAAGGTAGAAGAAGAAGCTGGAGAAGGAGTTGGCTTTACGAGAACGCTTTCATTTTACGTCAATCCCAGGTCAGGAAAGTTATTACAGTGATGAGAGAGATTCTGATGATGGATTTAACGAGATTTCGTCCAAGGATAGTCCAAATAAAGCTCAGCATCTTGGTGCCACAATTTTGGCTTCGAAATTTGCTGCCAACACAAGGAGAGGAGTTGTTCAGAAGGTTCAGTTTGCTGATACTGTTTCTTCAAGCTTAAAGATGCCCAAATTGTTTAAACCGGAAGAGCCTGATTTCTCCGAGGAAGTTTAGTTAGTATTTGATGACAGAAAATGCAAAAATACGAAAATAACTGAGTGAGAAATCGGTTAGAATTCTGTTAACATGACGGTTTTGTAAATTTTACTAGTGGTTAGGATAGATAATTATGCTTCTTAAAATGATCTTTATTCAGTTAAAGAGCATTCTGCCATTTCTTTTTCTCTCTCTCTCTCTCTTTATAGAACTGATCATAATGTATGTAGGTATAAGGGGGTCTTCTGATGCTCAAAAACACCGCTTATAGATATGAAAATACACCATGCTCAAAATTCTAAAAAGAAATATTTTCAAAACAAATAAATAGCAGTGCTTCGTATCAACATTTTGATCTTTCTTGATGGTTGAAGAATCTCTGTTGGGGCAAACAAGTCCCAC